GTGTGTGTGTGTGTGTGTGTGTGTGTGTGTGTGTGTCAGCTGACTCCTGTGGGACTAATATTCTCAGGATGTGTAGTATACGTGTGAGCTGAGGTTTCACAGATGGCTCTAACTTGTAGGATGCTTGTTCTTCTACATGGGACGTACAGCACACGTCTCTTATCTGGGGTTAAACTTTCAGCCTTTTTTCACTCTAATCTGTGGAAATCAGATTAGAGTGAAATCTAATTTTGCTCCTGTCGCAGCTCAAGAGGGGAGCTGTAGATTAAACCTGCTTGAATGAGAGAAATAAGATTTTACTTCAAGGAAAACTTTGAGAGTTAAGAGATGAACACTCCTCGTGTCTGTAGATTAAGATACATGTTGGAAGTTATAGGGAAGCCTGGCTCTGTCATAGGTTTGAATATGCACCAGCACTTTCACGCACTGGAAGCTATAAACAAAAACAAAAGTTAACTTGACAGTTTGTGACGGCTGCTTTATCAATCTTTAGCTATTTGTTGGTCAAGACTAAATGACCTGACATTTCCTCCTGTAATAAAATGAAGTGTATCAGAAGTACGAAATGGCATAAAACCCAAATACTCAAGTACCCGAAAGTAGTTCTTGAACATAGAATAGTGGAAGTAATGGCGTCAAACAGCAGTTTAGTAAATGTCCCTGTGTTTCATCCCTGCAGTGAAGCGTCTGTGACCTTTCCATTTGGACTTCTCCTACTGTTTAGCCAGATGTCAGCACTTTATGTGAAATAGGAGTGTGTCATCTTGTAAATCATGTTGATTGCACTTCATGCTGTAATATAAACTCCTGTCTCCTCTCTCTGTTTCCTGCCCTCTCTGTCTCTGTCCCCATCGTCCGTTTCCACTCTTCTATCTTGTCCGTTGTCTGCTGCAGGTCTGATTACAGTCCCCTGTCCTCAACGAGCAGTAAGTAAACCAATGGCGACATGAAGCATGAAACACACAGACACACACTCACACAGGAGCAGGAGTTTATCTCCCTAATACACACTGACAAAATAAATCCAATAACACGGGAGGATTGTTTTGTTTGTTAGTTTAGTGGATTCTTTGTGTGCCGATAACAAGCTGCTCAACTTATTATCGTGTCCCTCTTTCTACCATAGCAAACGTTGACTAGGTCATTATTCAACAAATGATAATCTATCCATCAATCATTAAAATAGCTTTTCCAATTTTCTCAATTTGTAAAAGACAAGTGGTTGTTTTTAGTCTTTTAATTGAGATTTGCAGCTTTTCTGTTATATATAATATAATATATTTAGGTTTCATTCAAAACTTCATTTAGTTTATTTCATTGAATCTTTACTTGAATTATGAAATTCACTGCATGACACCATTTGTAGCTGCATCTCATTTCTCATGAGTTGGATGACCCTATAACAATAGCAGGACGTAGTACCTTGCATTCTGAGAAACTGGTTATTTTACTTAAAGAGTAAATCATTATCAATTAAATTTAAACAAATTCCAGCCTGGGTGAAACTGTACATTTCAAAATGTTTGGGCCGTCATAGAAACAAAATCATAAAATCCATATTTTTGGAATTGGAATAAATGAAAACATTTTCCCAAACGGTTTTCAGATTTCCACGCATCAACATTAAGCATCAAACATTTGCTCCGTCTTGAGATAAACACAGCAACAAATTTCCAGGAAGGTTGGATGGAAATGCTGCGGCTGCCACAAGTTAACGATAAAATCTGGGTCCAATCAGTGACATGTTTTGTTCAATGACAAAGAGAATTCCTGTAGTGGCATTTAAATGATGCTGCTCAGGAGAAGAAAGTCATGGCAGTAGTTACACATGCTTAAACGACAACTTTGGTTTACTACAATCTGGATCTTATTGTGGACGGATCTGGCCTCTTTTTTTTTTTCATGAGTAATAACTAAGTTCACAAACGCAGTGATGTCACCATAAAGATTCTCGGGTCATCAGTCGATCAGGAACGTTGTAAACAACAAAACCAAATTTAGAAAGTTGTCACCCAGTCTGTCCAAAATGTAGAATTCATTACAAACCCTTCAGTAATCACACTTTTACTCACACGGATCGGCTACTTTAAATTGCTTTAATATGTGCACTAAGTGTGTTTGTGTAGTTTTGTGCAAACATGTGTGTGATTGTGAAGATGTGTGTTTGCGGAGTTCACGACCCCCCCCCCCCCCCCCCCAGTCTGGTTGCTGCCAGGTCGCCATCCCTCCTCTCACAATGGGGGGATTATGTCCATTATTCTTTCCATTAATCTGGTCTACAGGAAACTGCCTTATCCCGACCGCACCACACTCGCAAGTCAGGAAGTATAGGACCACACACACACACACACACACACACTCACACTCACACTCACTCTCTCTCTCTCTCTCTCATGTTTCCTGTGTCATCTCTGTCCACTATTGTCTCCCTACTGGAGGTCAGGTTGGGAACAAAACGTGCACTGTGACCACAGTGTGACAACAATCAGAAGGACATTACTGCAGAACAAGGACAGTACTTGGGGACTTGGTGTGATTTAGGACTTTACCCATCGGCAGTGATGGAAACATTTCTTATTCTTCTTTATTTTTTTTCAGTCTAGACTCTGCACTTTTTCCAACACAACGTTATTAAACCAACAACAGCGATTCTTTGTCTTTCTACGTATCATGCGGGACGCAATACTGGCAAGAGTTGAGGTTTCTTTGTGACTTCTAAGGTGACAAAAGGCAGGTTTATTTGCGTATACCTGCTAATTTAGATATAAAAGAGGTATAATACGCGTTCTTAGGTTCAGTATTCGTCTATGAGAACATGCACATTTAGCAGAGCGACAAAGTGAAGGAGCCTCCTGGGTTTATTTGTCAGAGGGACGGACGACATATGGAAGCAAACAGCTGTGGTGACAGATTTTCCAAAGATGTGAGAGGAGAAAATATGAATGTGTCTGAGCGCTGTGTGTGGCTGCCTGTTTTTGTCCTCTGTGTGTGTGTGTGTGTGTGTGTGTGTGTGTGTGTGTGTGTGTGTGTATTCATGCACGTCTGTGTGCACTGATGTGTTCATTGCAAAGATGCATGCAGCATCAGTCTCCCCTGTCTGCCGCCTCCACTGAAGTATATTTAGGTTGTGGTATAGAGCATACTCCTGTTTATACAGATGGTCCTAACACTTGACCTTTGACCTGAGCTCAGACCAGCTATAAGCCCCCTGGAGACAGACTGATATGATAAACCACCACTGTCAGTCTGACCGAGGTCAGAACTCCACTGTAGGTCCTGTGTAAGAGAAATTACAAGGATTCAAAAATATTTGATATTTGTTCTGTCAAGTGTTTGTGTGTTTGTGGTAATGACATTTTTTGTAACAGAGCAGAGACACTCATACAAATACAGAGACATAAGCAGGACGTGCATAATTTGTCACACTGGAATAACTCGGGGAAGAAAAAACTGTGGATATATTTATAACGAGCAGATGAATATTTACACCAGAGTCTGTGTCGATGCTCCGTTAAATTTTTTTTTTCTGTCATTTTAAGTCGTTTTTTATCAGACTGATGTATATTCATGTTTCTGATTAGTTTGGTTTTAATTAGGTTTTAATTACTCAAAGTGCTGAACAATTCCTTGAGTAATTGGCACAAGATGGCTGCATTTGTATCTGTGATATTTTGGCTTCATTTCTGCATAGTTTGGAAATGAAAGCCGCTGCTGAGAGAGGTATTTACAGAGAGTGAGTTCATCAAATGTTTTCTGGTTGTAAATAACGATGGTGTCAGTACAGTCCTTGGTCCTTTATTGGTTAGAGTTAACCACTCAACTCAAGAATGTTCAAATTCCAATAAACCCACTGTTTATAATAATGTCTGTGGACTCTGCCCCTCTGTGGACGCTAATCGTTTTTGTCGTGGTGCGTTCATATCTGTGGTTTAACGATGAGTCTTCACCACACAGAAAAACACTGGGCTGGTCCAGACTGCCTGTGCAGTCCAGCAACGCCCGAGGCCCTGCTCTTGTTATTTCAGCTCATATCAACAGAAGCAGGAACACGTGTGTGTGAAAGTTACTCCACCTCCATTATTTTACATTTGTACAAGAATTGAGTTTTAGCTGCTGGATGAAATAACTACTGGTGAAAGTGCAGGGTCCTGCAAACATTTTACTTCCCGCCCTCCCTGAGGAGAATTAGGTCCGGGGGGAAACCACCCGAGAGAGGTTTTATTATTGTTGTTCTTTTTCACTTTTGCATCGGTCGCATGTTAGAAGATCCATGACCCCCCCCCCACTGGCTAGCAGTGAATGCAGCACGTGATCTCCTACTGTGCGCTCACATTGGATCCTGTTGGCTTTATACCAGGGGGCCAGGCAGAGAAAGTCCGAAGGCTCTCACTCAAAGTACGGAGGATCTCTGGAGTTCAGTGCTCGTCTGAGAGGCAGCTAGCCAAGGTGCATTCAGCAGAGAATTTAAACAGCACCTGGTGGATCAAGGACCACCCGCATTACCTCTGCACACAAATGCTCACTCACACTCCCGGTGCTTTCTGTCTAGTTCAATGTGACATACTGATCCCGGCGCTGCTACGAGGCAGCTCGTGTTAAGTGTTTCCAAATGTGCGTCCTCAGTAAAGAGGTTTGAAGCCAGAGTTCGCGCTAGACTTTTTCGTTGTCTGTCATTTTGACTGACAGGGTCATAAAAATCCCATCATCATCTATTTTTACTGGTCACTTTAATTTTTTTAATGATAATAATGACATATTCAATAGCATTTAATTTTAATTCATTTTTAATTAATATTCAGTCCAAACAAGCTGAACAAATAATCCACACCGTGGAAACACACATCAAGCAGAAGAATATGTAACTTTTTCTCTGCAGTAACGAAAACAGACTGTGTAGCCCCAGTAGCTACATATGAACAATGAATAATGAAATATGAACAGTTCACCTGTGGCCTAGACGCACAGTCTCACACCTTCCTCCTGGTCCGCATGGACTTGAATCGCGTGCCCGCTTGCGCGTAATCAAATGTCTGAAGTGGGACTGCCGCAGAGGCTATTGTCATGAGGTTTTGGACTTTTTCCTCGGACAGGCGACTTCTCATGGCTGTTTTGATGTTGTTCTGGAGACTGAATCCGCGCTCTGCTGCCACCCTGGAAACTGGAGTTACAAGCGCCACTTCAGCGATAGGAAATCCCGTCACCGTTTTTAAAAAACGGTCAATGACGGAAAATATTCGGTTAACGCGACCCGTTTGAAGCATGAGGCAGATCTCAGATAAATGTGCTGCATGTAACGGTTTTATTGAAGCAGTTCTGTCTTGTCGACCTTGTTGTGATAGCGAGTTAGTTAGTGTGTGTTTACTGACTGCAAATACACTGCAGTCTGTAAGTAGAGTTGTGGAACATGTTATGTTTTTATTTTAGATAAAGAGAGAAAGGTGCAATAGATAGATAGATAGATAGATGATAGATAGATAGATAGATAGATAGATAGATAGATAGATAGATAGTGAGTGGGAGCGGAGTAGGTAGTCATGATCAGGATAGGCTGAGTGATTGGATCTCAGGACTAGAGCCCTGCACGGGACTGTTTTCTTCATCCTGCTCCCGCAGAATTTCTGACCATTACCGCCCAAAACTGCAACGTTAGTGTTACACTCCCACCCGTTTCCGCAATGTGTATGTCCACTCCTGCCTGCACCCGCAAAACTCTGAGAATTTATGCCCGCACAACAATAGAGATGTATTGATTTTCTCCCATCCCGCAGGAGAAAACACAACGCTTGCAGCAAAGTTCAAACTGCCCGCTCCCGCGAGATTTGCGGGATCCAGCGGGACCCAATCCCAATGCAGCCCTCTACTCAGGACCCACTTGTACTTCGACCATTATCAGATCAGCACTTGGTCTGCTTCTTCTTTGCCTCTTTTCTATCAACACTGGTCCGCTTCTTTAATTTTTGCCCTCTAGCCTCCGCAACTGCAGTCTTCTCCCTCTATAAATCACACCAAAAAACAAAGTGTGTTAAACAGTTGATCGTGACGTGAAGTTCCCACTGGATCTTTGGTCTTAAAAATATTGCGTAACCCTATGTTATAGATTAAGACTCAAGTGTAGAATTGCACTTACCTCTTTCTCTAATTGCTTGTTCCACTGAGCAACGGTATTTGGACACTTTGACTTTTCTCTCTTGAACAAAGTGTACCCCTGCTGCAATATTAATAACACCCATAAACAAAGTACGTTAAACAGTTGATTATGACATCAATTATACAGCAGGGTCTCAAATAGTCTAAAATATGTAAAAATATTACAGGTTTGTTATGTCTCCGCACACCTCGTCTTTAATTATATGGAGGTACAAGTAATACTGGAACTGTGATATTCCTTCGTATCAGGTCTTAGATTCATTCATTTTGCTCTTTAAAAGTCATAAAACTAACTTGTTGAAACCTGCAGAGACCCTGTTATAAATAAAGACTCAAGTGTAGAATTGCACTAACCTCTTCCTCCATTTGCTTCAGCTCTTGAGTCTCAGCCTTTGGAGTTTTGGCCTTTGCCTTCTCATCTGCAGTCATCTCCTTCTGCATCTATAAATCACAAAAACAATGACGTAAATTAACCCCACTGGGTCTTTGGCCGTAAGAAATATAGAATTTGTTAAAATATTTAAACCTGTTGAAACCTGCAGAGACCCTGTTATAGATACTTACATCTTCCTTTACTTGCTTGATGAGACTTTCCAGTGAAAGTGGCTGCTCATCCTCACTAAAATCATAATCCTCCTCACTGAGGAACCAACACAGACACAATCGTCAACCCAATGTTCCAAGAGTTTAAAATGTATGACAATCTCCAAATGAACACATAAAAAAGACAGACCTTTCAATTACGTGTATGCCACTGGTATTCGGCTGAAGCAGCTCTGGATCCTCAACCAGAAGAATTTGAGTATCATCGTCAGAGTTGTCATCCTCGTCCAGATACTGCAAAATGAAACAAGGATGTGTGGTTTTATAAAGCAGAATTTGTGTTGAGAGAAGAGAGAGAGACTCGTATCTTAGAAGGTTACCTTAGTAGTGAGGTACTGCTGAATGGCGAGCATCTCAGTAGTCTTCTCCTCCACCTCACCCAGATAGTGGATGATTTTTTCGTAATGATCCAGCATGACCCCGTCCCCTGTGGGCTGAATCTCCAGTACAGAGCAGGCATGATCCACTCCTTTTTGGAAAGAAGAGAATTTTAATGAATGTTATATGTAGGTTGGCACTTTTGCATGTTCATCTGACTAAAACACTCATGGTTATATGACAAATAGATTGGAATTCATTACACTAATCGAGCTGTGAAACTACCAGATTCAGAACAAGAGACCCGAAAAATATACTGTTGCCAAACCTGGCATGATGTCGTCCAGGAATTTGATTATGGCACTGCTGCGGTCTTGGTTGGACTTAGCGAGGGACTCAACCTCCTCAAGGCTTTTGTTCAAGACACAATCCGGGTCCAGCAGATCTTTCTGGTCACGGTGGTCCGGCTTGTTTTTTAACTGCAGAATCGTTCATTTCATCGTTAACCGTAAAGAAGATATGTAATAAGACAAACATTTATAAACTGAAAATATTGATATATTGTTAAATGTCACATCCTAATTATTTTCTTCCGCACTGAATAGTGAAAGAAGCAAAGTTTAAAAGAACAATGGAAGGAGTTAACTGACGGGTTTTCCGTTAATACAGTCAAGCAGAGAAATATATACTCACCTCTTTGATTTCCTTCCTCAGGTCGAGAATCTCCTTTTGCTGGTGCATTACATCAATGAGGAGTAGAAAGCCTTGTTTCTCCTCTACACAGTGAAACAACAACGAGATACATTTAAATCCTCTCAAACTGTTTGGCCTAATTCAAAATCGTTATCAAAGTGGGACATTCCATTTATTTGGTGTCATTTTAGTGTCAATCATGTGACATTTAAGAATAAATGATTCAATCTACGCAAAAAATGCAGATTATTACACTGGCCGTTTGTGTCGGTAATATTCACCATTGCCGAACTTGGTGATTGCAGCGTCCACGTCGTCTTCTCTTGACACTGCAAGGATCTCCTGATACTCGTCCCTCAGACTGTCCAGATACACTGTTTCCCTCTCCAGATCCATCTTCAGCATCATCACTGGGGAAAACAAACCATTCACATGAAAATCACACTCCGTCATGTGACACTGAAGTTAACAGCCCCAAAATCTTTACGTCACAGTTCAACCATACAGTTTTTTTAAATAAATGTTAACACTTTTTACTAGATGATTTAAATATGTTGGCATTCATTTCCCAATTCACAGCTGTCAATGTCACCATTAGAACTCTTGTCATTATTGTAAATATTGTGTAAAAACGGAAATATTAGCAGCAGCACAATGTCCGTGTCTTACATTTCTTCTCCCTACGGACGTCCACCTGTGAGGCCCTCTTCCTGTTCTTGATTTCAAGGAAGTCTGTCAGCCTTGTCTGATGTGCAATAACAATGTTCAGCTCATGCATCTGATTTGTGTATTCGGCAATGTCTTTCTCTTGCTTTGCCATCATTTCCATCAACTTGGCATCAGCTTTCACCCTGAGGTAGAAAGAAGAATACATAATATCAAGAGATGAATAGAGAAGATTCCAAAACCAAGATCATGGGGACTTTTTAATGCGTTACATCTCAATTTCGACATCAGTTGTCTCCTTGATGGTTTTCTCAGTCTGGGTGCAGACCTCCTCCAGTTCCTGCAACACAAAGTGCACAGACATTCTTTTTACTTGACAACTTTAAAGCAGTGTTAGTTATGGAATAGCACGTTAATTACATGGAATCCAAATAAAAGTATCACTTATGGTGTGACCTCTAACCTTCTTCAGATTGTTCATTTCGTCTTTAAATATGAGATGCTCATTGTAAATCAGCCTCAGCTCCTCTCGCAGGCCCTCGTTTTCGACTCGTTGCTTATTGAAGTTTTGCTTCACCTGACAAGAACATTTTAGAAAAATTAGGATAAACACTTTTAATTACACTATTAACTAGACAAAGATGCTCCTTCGTAACTCACCGTGTCCAATTTGACATTTGCGGTTTGCAAGCTCTTCATAGCCTTCTGGATGTCAGGCCTCTTCCTTTCTCGCTCCTTGAGCTCATCCACTTTCAACCTCATTTCTGCAATCTGTCCACAATATAGATGTTTGGCAATAATACATGACAGTTTTCTTTATCAAAATATCAATGAACATGGAATTAAATGTTATGATAGCTGGATATGTAGTGACAAGGGCAATTAACCTCTTTTTCCAAGGCTTTGTGAGTCTGTATTTCTATTTCCATCTTCTCATCTATATCATCGCACTTCTTCAACAAAGTAGGGTCTTGTCCGGGAACTTCCAAAGAGATAGTGAGCTTCTTTTTCAAATCCTCTTGCTCCTTCTGCAGGTTTTCTATCTCCTGCCTTCACACACAACACAAACAGGTGGTCAAGTAAATAAAAATGCACAATGAGGTTATTGCGATGTTAGTGTGCTTTATCTTTTTTGTGTCTTTCCTTACTCTTGCTTGCGGATTTGCTCCTTCATCTGGTGCTCCTCTCTCATCACCCTTTGCTGCTGTGGCAATTTGAATTGCTCAGACTGTTGCTCTGTTTAGCAAAAGACATACCAACTGTTAAGACAACATCACTGAGACAACATCAAGATTTAAAACTTAACAATATATAAATAAAATCAATGATCCATTCCCATCTTACCCTTTTTTGGTTGTTTGCTTGAAATTGTTGTCATTGTTTCGCTTTGTTTTTACTGGATAAAAATAGAACGAAATGGTTTGTAATCACTTTTCACCCACACCCTGTCAAGTGTAGCTGTTTATGCATATTATCTGATCAATGTTTGTCTTAGAATCAAAGGCTCTCTGTCAAGATCAAAGCATTGCCACATTGCAAATAAAAGGATTGTAATGTCACTTTGCCAAGATCAAAGGAATCTTAGACACACAGACACCTATTTTAAAAACCTTAAATTGTAGAAAATGACTTTGATGTTGAAGATAAAGAAGAACAGTCTCGGATCGTGGTGATGCACCTTGATGTTGGTTGCTACCTGTCAATAAACTGAGCAAAGAAAGGTTGAATGTTTCAAAGAGTATTGAAAGAAACAGATTATTGCAGGTGTGTCTCCAACAACTCCTGCAGAAAAAGGTGAATATTATGTACGAGGAGTTGAGGGAAAAAATAGTCTATAGTAGAAATGTCCTGAACAAGCTAAACCCTTTAATGGCTGAAATCTATTGAAGTATGCAGCAGCAGTTGTTGGCGACTAAATTCGAAACATTTTCACTGAAAAAAAGTGGAAGAAGACAAATTATAGTAAAGAACAGTAGAACTTTAACATGACCGTTGTCAGTATTCACACTAAAAATAATAATTTACCACAGCTGGATTTCTGTTGATCTGTTTTTAAAAATCTTTTCCGAACGTAACTGATCTAATCTATCTTCATTTAAAACTGGCAGCAGTTTTGAGCCAGGGAATGGTGGCTCCACATTATGGTCTGGTCGCTTTTATCTCCTGTGAAACTTGAGGGTTGGCGCTGTGCACATACAGACCCCCTGTATATTTGGCTCTGGGAAAGGAAGTCAGCAATTCCCCTTATTTTCAGGTCCCGCTTACTCAGCATAAAAACAACCAAGCCATGTTCCTCAGCGTCTTCAGAACGGTAGAGTAAACACACTCTGTCAAGTTCATTGTGTCAACAGAATTTACAACAGTTTAATTTTGTGCAGAGATGCAGAGTCCCAGCACAGAAACACAGCTCTGTGAAGCAGAGACTCCAGCAGAAGCTTTCAATTTGAGTTTTATCTGTCAAGACAGAAATATATCAGTCGTCACTTCAATGCCTCACTCTCTTAGACAGTAATATGAGAAACGGTAGGATAAGGACAAAGCAGGAGTTGTTCTATATTGTCACTAAATACCTTGAAAAAACAAAGCTAACAATGTGTTGTTCCGTCTCTTACTATTACAGACTTAAATCCTCCCTGTGGCACTTCAACAAATATCAAGGAAGACATCATTTTGTTTAAAAGCTTGAGAAGCTTCTTGAAACAGCAGGACAGAAGTTTTTAGCAAATAGTGCATCTGTTGGGGATTATTTTCTGACATTGACATATTTGGAGGACAGGTGCAGATTTGTCTTACTGCCAATTGAATGCCCGACTGCCACGCCCAAAATAAACCCTCTTCAAATACCACAGCTCACACAAACCCTAAGCTATAGGTACAAACCACTATTAAATTCTGAAGCAGCGCTCTGGTCGCTGGTCAGGGTTTGGAGCAGGTGACAGAGGCCTAGTCCCTCCAGTTGATCCAGTCTAGCAACAACCATGAAGTTTGATCAAATGGAATCATAAGTTTTGCCCAAAATACACGTAGACATCTCAGAAGCACTGATTTCTTGAACTGCTGACCGGTAACATCAATGAATTCTTTAAAATCAGAATAAATATAAAAATATGACCAAATCTAATTTTCTCAGTTTCCTCGTGGCCCAGACAACCTGTAGTCTATGGCATAATACCACTACTTGTTCATAGGATCACTTCATTGTTGATTTATGGCCTTGTCATGGATTTTTTCATGGAAAATAATAAAGTAATAGAATATCACAGCTGTATCCTTTAGTTGTCCCTATAAAGTTCGTTTGCATAGGAGACTTGGCTCAATCTCAATCAGAGTAAAATGTCTTTGTGTTTGGCAACGAAACAAAAGTATAGCTGTGGTTTTACTGAACTTAAAGAAGTTAATAGTACAGCAAAGACTTTATGTTTTAATTTTCTTGGCACAAGTCAAACTGACTTATGAGTGTTGGACCTTGCATCTTTTTTTTTTTCTCTCTCTCTCTTTTTACCAGACGACAAAAAGGGGCCCCACGTCTTGAATTTCCTCCTTCAGTTGTTTTGACTTACACGGAGGGCCAAGCTAGAGCTGTGACTGCAGTGCTCTCACACACACACACACACATGGACACACTCCAAGGCCTTTCGCTGCTAATCACTCTCATATGTGCAGAGCCACTGGAAGGCGTGTTGTTTTATCTCACGTCATCATCCGTGTGTATGGCTGCGAGCATGTGTTGCCGGTTAACACTTTAAACACAGAGTGAAGGTAAAAGTCTCTGAGAATTAGAAAAGACAGGCCTGCCCATAACGGAGCAAATTGATTTTGTGTGTGTCGCGGACGGTTGCGTGCACACTGGAGTGTGTATGCAGACGGTCAGAGTCAGAGCATCAGCCCGAAGACTGGAGTGGATTAAGAGCTTAGAGATGCACTCCTCCAGAGCTTTGCACACAAACACCCTTCACAGCATCGGGGTGACTTAATCTCTAATTTATTCTCCTCTGTGCCACCTCCCCATTGACCCTTATTGCTAAAGGAAAGTCTGCAGACTTAATGTACATTTGGTTTCCAAACATTAAACAACTCAGAACATTGTGTATTTGGCTGCAGAGTGAATGTCCTGTTGTATTTGTGATCTGTAAATCTTCTGAATTTGGATTTTAAATTCTGTACATCACTCATTCATTCAGCAGATTGGGGCTCAGGTCACGTTTTCTATGTCCGACGTCATTCGAAGCTGAGGAAAGATTAACTGAGCCTGACCCAAATTCTACAGGGATTCTGTTTTAAGTGTCGGAACCCGACCCGAGCCGGATCCAAGCTGGACTGAGTTTGTGTTGCCCTTTCCCAATAACACATCGTTATATTTGAAGTAGAGCTGGAAAGAGTCAGATAAAGAAAAGTGATACAGACAAACAGGTGGAAAAAAGATAAATAGAAACGAGTGGAAGGGAAATGTAAGAGCAAGGATCTGAGATATTTGTATGGGACAGAAAGAACAAGAGTAATTGATCGTCTCTTCTAATTTGTCGCTCTGTTTGCTTTATTGTCTGTTGTCGGTCCAAATGAGGCAGAAGTTGGACAGTTAGGACAAAGGTCTCTGTTCCTTTTGGGCTCATGTGCGGCTCTGACTCCAGGAAGACTGTAAGATCTGTGTGGAGTTAAATTTAGTAATGATAAATCAAGCTGTGAGTGTGTGTGTGACAGGACAATGTACTGTACAGTAAATACCTATAAAGATCCCTATCATCCCTGTGTTTGGTGTGTTAATGCCAGATACATGCGAGAGAGGCGGACATTGATTCTAATGGGATCAGGCAGACGTTAGAAAACATGGCCCTGTGTGTGTGTGTGTGTGGACGTAAATGTCCTGACATGCAGCTTAAACTCGCTGCCTCGATGCTGCCATCTTTTATCTCGTTAGACACACTGAGCCACATGATGTCATTTGTTGTCGGAGTTTGAGGTTTGATGCCATTTGATCGAGTCTGAATCCGATCAAATCAATTTACCGTAGGTTCGGTTTCCAACGATTTTAAGTGACAGAGGATTTAAATGAATGGCAGCAGAAGTATTGTCCATCAGCAATAACTGTTCACATGAAACCGTCTCTGGAAACAGAAAACATCTTTGAGAAAAACCTGTTCGAAAAAAAGTAATGTTGGTCAATGTTCAATTCTTTCACCTATTTAATTTCGCGGAAATCCGCTAATTTGTTTTTTTCATAATCCTGCTGACTAACGAACAAACAAACGAAAATGGTAAAAAACACTTTACTCTCTCATGCAGATTTTTATTTTAAGACAAAACCTGTTTTCACTGGTGATGCAGATTATTAACACTTTGTTGAAACTATTTAAATACACCAAACAGTAAATCCTGTTTACATGGATCATGTGTTGCGACACCCCTAATGGCCTTTTAGCGATGTTTCCCTGTCACCTAATCCTAACATTTAGAAAATGTCACCTCTTTGGTCAAGTAGAAAGTGGCCTTTACAGAAAGGCCAGCGGGACTCATGAGGGAGAAGCTGTCCCCGTTTGGCCTCTCTGTTACATGGAGGCATTCTGGCAACCGTCAAACACTCTGCTGTTCCAGGGACAAGGAGACTGTGTGTCGTTTATCAGACTTCGCTCCGAGCACAAACGAAATGGGACAAATCCCCCGAGACATCCAATAAAGAGAGGCAGGGAGAGTGCTCACAAAAGAAGAGAAAGAGAGAATGTGGCGACACTGTCAGAGTGCGTACATATGACAGTAAGAATGAAAACAATGTCTTGATATGACTGAACACGTCAGCTGTAGTTTTTGCAGTACCTGTGCCAGGGTGCAGAGCTGGTCCAGGTCGGGGGTTCAGGAGGAGGCTGCACCTAATGCATCGCCCCTGCCTGGTCTGGAACATTCCTCTGGCTTCACTAATGACCTCCTAATGGCTCTAATGATCCTCAACAGAGGCTCCACACTCCACATGGGCGAGGGGTGGGAGGAGTAAACACAGAAACGGGAGAAAGATGGAGTGAATTGCGGACGAGTGAAATGGAGAAGGAAGGGAGTGAGAGATCTGTGGGAAGAAGGAAGGAGGGAAAAAGTTGTTGTTGTTGAGTTGTTTGCTGTTTGCAGGAGAGAAGCTCCCTTTACTCTGGGGGATCTAACTTTGCAGAACTTTTACACTCACCAAAAACTGAAAAAAGCATCATCATGTCTCCTTTAAATAAAAGAGAAATTGATGAAGAGAACAGATTCTTTTCCCATTCGTAGCTTTACCCTTTGTTGCTCGTCACAGATACTGCAGAAAGAAATCATTTTAAAAACATTGAATGTGAGCCTGTCGTCAGACCACGCACATTCTTCAAGCTTCCTTCTTTGTGTGCCTCGTTCAGAAAGATTGATTATGCTGTTCTCTTCTCTTCCCCATGTTTTCCTCGTCCCTCTCGTCTTTCTCTCTTTCCCTCCCTCTATTTTCT